AGGGCATCTGCTGTGTAAAACATATGCTGGATAAGTTGGCGGTTCATTCCGCTGTGGCGACCCCAGATTAATAAAGGGACTAAGCTGAAAAAAAATGAATAAATTTACCTGAACGACAAAAAATATGTTTTCCATATTCATAGACATAAGTTACTGTACCTGAAAGGGATGCATAAAATTCATCTTGTGCTTTTTTCTTCTTGTTAGCATCAGACTGCTGTTGATTTTCCTGTTGATTATATATAATATTTTTTTTATCTATATTCAGTGTATGTAAATGTTACTATACAAATACAGATAAAAAAACATTTTTGAGCAACCGAAATGGTGCTTTCCTTCCTGCGGTCAGGCGAGCAAAGCAAAAGCAACCAGTGAGTTATTTCTAGCCAACGTTAACTTTTCCTTTACTCGCCCATAAACAGCACAGCACCAAAGACATAGACCAATACCAATACAGCGAACGCCTTTTGTCATTATATATATATATATATATATATATATATATATATATATATATATATATATATATATATATATATATATATATATATATATATATATATATATATATATATATATATATATATATATATATATATATATATATATATATATATATATATATATATATATATATATATATATATATATATATATATATATATATATATATATATATATATATATATATATATATATATATATATATATATATATATATATATATATATATATATATATATATATATATATATATATATATATATATATATATATATATATATATATATATATATATATATATATATATATATATATATATATATATATATATATATATATATATATATATATATATATATATATATATATATATATATATATATATATATATATATATATATATATATATATATATATATATATATATATATATATATATATATATATATATATATATATATATATATATATATATATATATATATATATATATATATATATATATATATATATATATATATATATATATATATATATATATATATATATATATATATATATATATATATATATATATATATATATATATATATATATATATATATATATATATATATCTATATGTATATATATATATATATATATATATCTATCTGTATATATATAGATATATATATATCTATATATA